GAGAGAGAGAGAGAGAGAGAGAGAGAGAGAGGCCGTGGCAACGCTGGACAAGAGATGGGTGAACTGACATCAAGGTAAGTCTGACTACGTCTTCTTGGGTTCTCTGCTGCGAATGTGATTTATTTCCTACGCATGTTTTGTTTTTGTCAGTTAGAAGCAAACCTTTTTTCAACACAGACTAGGGTTTTTTGTAAGAGAAATTTCGCTCAAAGTACACCGGCCTAGAGATCTGGGCTCCACGTTGTACAAGGTAGGGATGGGAGGCTGCTGTTGAGGGGAGTGAACCCAGAAGGTAAACTGACGCTGTGGGAAATGTCATTGGGATCAAGATGAAGACGGGAGAAGCCACGTCGGTCAAAGTCCCGGTTCAAATCTGTGTTTTCCACCGGGAAGAAAGGAAAAAGTCATTGCTACAAACCAGTTTGTTGGCTAATAATGCTCGATTCGTATACTGCATGGTGAAAAAAAAGTGTTCGGGATTTTTACGTCCCTATCAACACTGTTAGGTTACTGAAGAGGCGGAACCTCCGCATTAAACACTTATCTGCGATAGGACAGGGCCAAAACTTGAAAACTCCTCAAAACGACCCACTTTCAAGAACGCCCAGTCTCGGATTCGAACCCGGGCCATCCTCTCTGTAGTCCAGTATGGTACCAACTGAGCTAAAGGAGCACGCACCCATGCTGAACTGGGAAACAATTGAGAGTGGTTTGTTTCTGAAATTAAATGCAAATTCACTGTAATCAAGTTATTTACAAGCCACCTCAGTTTTAACTGTTGCCAGGTCATGTCAATTCTAGCAATTGCCTCCCCCTGACCCATGCCCAGTGCATCTACACATTTCAGTCCTGGTCTGAATGTGAGAAATATATTCTGTTCTATTTCTGAATGTGAACTGATCGGTGAAAGATGAGAGATGGACTATTTGTTTCCTTCTATTGCAACGATCAAAGCCCATCATGATAGTGTGTACCTGCATGCCCCAATGTAAATAGAACAGCAAGGTTTGGACCCCGAATGTTCATGCCCTGTCTTTGTAGACTATAGATCTAGATCTACATCTGAACACTCTGGAGTAGAATTGTGACCCTTCCTTCGACCTTCACCTTGAATTGGATTGTTGTTTGGAATGCCCATATTCTGTTTGCTGGTCATTTTATGAATTTTAAGAATTATTATTTCCCTCCAATCCAGTGACATATTAATATTATTATATGAACTAGTCTTTTTTTTTCTTTGTGAGATTTTTACACAAGTTATTATTCTTCAATGTGATAAACAATAAAAAGTATTTTTGGATTTGTATTGAATGCTTCTGCATTATTTCTCAAGAGTTGTACCGATTTGGTTTATTCCTATTTGATTATCAATATGTTTTTTACAGTTCGTTTATTTCTTTTGAAGAGTTGGATATGAAAACTCTTTCTTCTTGTTATAGTGTACAGTTTTACAATGTTGTTACTGTATTGTTATCAAATCTACCAAACCAAACACCTCTGCCTAGTTTGACACATTCCACTTCACACAGTCACTCCACTTTAAATTAACAGTTTCCCAGGATTTCAATCAAAGACAGAGATCTGGCGCTCATATGACCTTATGCAATTATTGCGAGCGCCGTAAAACCTCTAATGAAACAATCAAAGACAGAGATAGCAATACTAACCAAACGTCCACCACACATCAAAGGCTCCCACTGCACAGTCAAACCTGATCCAACTCCCACCTGCTCAATCACTGTACAAACTACCACTCCACACACCCCCCCCCCTTTACCTGTCCAAGACATCCACCTGTCTATGACAAAAACTTTTCTTCTCAACAATTCCTGGTAGCCACTTTGGATAATAACGACATTTGTCAGACAGGAAGAAGTAGGTCAGTATACAACAGACTGTGACTCTCTGTTGTGACCTAGTTTCCAGATCTGCGTTACAAAAATAAACGTTCATCTGTTCACAAACTGTTTATCGATGGCAAACGGCAAAGTCAAGCTCACCAGTGACAGAAACAACAGCAGAAATAGTGGCGTTCAAGGCAGTCACATCATCAACAGCAACAGTTATAACAACAACAACAATAACAACAGCAAAATAACAACAGCAACAACAATAATAACAACAGCAACAACAACAACAACAACAACAGCAACAACAACAACAAAAATAGCAACAACAACAACAACAACAACAACAACAACACAGCAACAACAACAACAGCAACAACAACAACAACA